GCCTCTGTTAGGTAAGTTAGGAGAGTGAAAAATAAATTTTGTAGAGATTGTATCAAGTGGTAAAAAACTCCAGGTCTTTTTTTTCCGCAGAATTCCACGACCAACTGTTCTTCCCGTAGCAACCTTTTCTTCACCACAAATGTAATATCAAGTCCTTAGGGTTTGAAAATAATATTTGCTGCTGGCAGGTGATGCCAACATCTGTAAGTGCCTAGACCAGGATCTGTCCTGTCTCAGTGGCTTTGGTCCAATATATTTTGATTGGACCCTTAATTCACTTCAAAAGAAATGAACCCTTCTTCATGCTGTTGCTCTTTACTGAAAAACTCCCTCACAGATTCATCTGAATAAATCCTCCACAGCCTTTAGGACCAGATCAAGTTTTACCTTCTCCAGAAAGCTTTTTTTTCTCCCACGGTTGTAAACGCATCCTTCCTTAAACTTGTGTTTCCTTGCCAAGAGGAACTGTTGCTGTTTAGCACTTAATCCAGTATACTGTTTGGATGTGTTGTTTAGTTATTTCTTGTGGATTGGACTTGGATTCAGCACCGTGTCTTCTCCTGCCCTTCTACTTCCCGCAGGACCTAATACAGTGCTCCCAGCTGTGCTGGCTGACTAAGGACTGACATTCACAGTGGCCAGTGTGTTAGAACAGCTGAGAACTGAAAATGGACCTCATTCTCAGGGTTGTGTAGTTTGTAAACTGTCCAACTCCAGGGAGCACTGGTCACATAGGCCATGAAGTGAATGTCAGTCACTGGATTGTACAACTTGCATGTCCCCTTGGGTCTACAAGTGGCCTGTGTGTACACTTACTGCATTACATTAGCTCTTCTGGAGAATCTTTCCTACCTCCTTCCTTTCATACTTTTTTGTCTGTTTCAATGGGGAGTTTAAAAACCCTTCTATAACTCTTTAGGACAACGTTTTTCAAAATGAGGTTCTGGACCCTTGAATTAGAAAAGCCTGGGAGGCTAATTAAAATGCAGGTTCTTTAGTTCACTTGAATCAGCCTAGGCCTGGGGCTGGAGATGTTAATAAGGAAGACTGACGATTCTTTGCACTTCACTAAAATCTTAGGAAATGATTGTTGAAATGGCTTTTCAGTAGGGTGGAAACTGTAGTGCCTCAAAGGGTTAATACCACTGTCCTTAACCTGTTGCACTATTGTAAACCTTTTCTTCCTCATTAAAGTTCAGCCACAACTTAGTGAATAGTTGCTCTATGGGGCTTCCCTGGTGGCACAGTGGTTGAGAGTCCGCCTGCCGATGCAGA